CTTCAGCAGGACTTTGGCCGCTTCAGACAATGTATATCATCCTCTAAGGGCCAAGTCAAAAAATCATCACAACTAGTTGTATGTGGTGAGGCTTTAAAGTGCATATTTAAAATATTTTTTTAAAATCATGAGTACCTAGAAGACCCTGTTGCCTTGAAGTTAAACAGAAGCCAGACCCTACATTGTGTCAGTAGGTAGTACTGAGCAAAACTGAGATACAGATACTAAGAGCCACAGATATGGTCTTAGACATCTAGCTCCCATCAACTATTTCAACAATAATTTGGTATCTAAACAGCTCCAAGGATTTTGATCATAGAAACTTAATTTTTGTCAGTGCTGGTGGTCAAAGTGATTAATTTCAGAGGGACCTAATCAGTACTGGTAGCAGTAGGTGGGGGAAAACTGCTCACAGACTAGGAATGTAGGGGGATAGTCAGAATTATGGGGTGGGAGCTGGCCTTTGATGGAAGTGCCAGCTATGTAAATGCCCAAGGATCTACAGTATTAGTGTTGTGTTTTCTCTTTGTTCTTGTTTGCTTACTTAAACTGCTTTTGTTTGAAACAGAAAAGACTGACTAGCAGTTTCTTGTATTTCAGTAGTGCCAAAAAGATCTACACCAGCTGAGAAATCAAACAGAAACCTCTTCCCTTAGTTGGGTGCTCTGTGAAATTGGAATTTTGAAGGTTTGTTTTTTTTTATGCACGTTAGGGTCATGTTTATCTTGCACAAACTGGCTTACTGCTTTTTGGGTTAGTGTTTTAATAACTGAGGTCAACAGTACAGTCCTCTTTTGGAAGGTGTACCTAATCAAACGGGGCATTGTGTTGTGCTCTCAAGAAATGTTTTTAGTGCCTGAAGTCAAACACACTTGTGATTTTTTTTACTTTAATGGGACTTGGCTGAACACTATGAATTATAAATTTAGACTTTAAACATTTATTGTGTTAACTAATTAAATGACAGCAGTTAAAGCAAATACAATTATAGTCACTTTAGAGCATATTTATTACTCTAGTATCCTAAGAAACTGAGAAATCTACAGACAATGTGTTTTGGCTGTTGTGCGCAATACCATTTCTGTAATTACAGAAATTCTGTAATTACAGAAGAGGATGGCATTGCTCAGAATGCTTAAAGATAAAATGAGATGATGTTTGACTAAGTGACAGAGAAAATAAATAACATTTCAGAATTTATGCAGTTAGGATGAAGAATTTATTATATACACAGTTAATTCTACTGTAGATGTACTTCCTTTTTAAAGAAAATGAATACAGTAAATAAAATAGTTCTAGCATGGAAACTACTATACAGACTGAAACGGGACTAAACCAGGAATTAGTTACTTGACTCGAAAGAACACAGAACCTAAAACAACAAATCGCAAGGTTGCATCGTTAACCAAGGACAGTAAAAAACTGTACAGTACAAGCAACACGTTACAATAAGTTATGACCAATAAGGCAGTCTTTCTTCTCTAGGACAAAGGGGATAAAGGGAAAGGTATTAAAATCTCATAAATCCACCATATCTCTTTTCCATCTCTGGGACCTCTTTGGAATACGTTTCCCCATCTTCTTCTGAAGGGAGAACGGAGTCGGCGAAGCGCTTGAGAAAGCCACCGTATCGTTTCTGGTAATCCAGCCACCACTCTGGCCTGCCCACTCTTCTCATGAACCCACCGTATCTCTTTTGCAGCTCTTTGGCTTCGTCTTCCAGTTCGGGGCTGCGCTTTACGCTTCTCATGAAGCCTCCGTATCTTTTGCTGACGTCCCCGTCATTCTCGTTGATCTCTCGGTAATGCCCTGCTTCAGGGTTATCCCCTGTTCCTAGGAGCTCCTTCAGCAGATCAGAGGAATTGGCAAGGTCATCGTCATCCGAGCCTTTCTTCATAAACCCTCCGTACCTCTTAGCCAGGGCTTCTCCTCCGTTAGCTTCGTCCTCCGGTTCTACCCGATAGAGCTCGTCCATTTTCTTCATGAACCCCCCGTATCTTTTCATGAAGCCGCCATACTTCTTTGTGAGTAAGTGGTTCTCATCCAAGTCTTTCTTGTCTCCTGGAGCAACGTTGCCATCCTCGGAAAGATCCAGCTTGGCTAGTTGCAGGAGTTCCTTGCAGGTCTCCCAGGCTTTGGCAGAAGGCAGCTTTCCTTCACATTCTAGTGTACATGCCTGAAAAATGCATGTGGTTTACTGAGAATTATTTGATAGTAACAAACACCTCACTGCCACCTTTCTTAGCTTCACTTGTTTTTTAGAAGACCATGAGTGAGCCTCTCTGAGTGGCTCAGAAGGACTGCTTTTCAGGAACAGCTGATTTGGTGGTATCTGTTCTGAAGTTCCTCATATCCCTCTCTGAAAGATATGGTAGTCTCTGCTCTGAGAGACAGAATAATGGACAAGGTGGATTGTATGGATGGTCCTGTATGTCAAAGCTGTCCTTACATTTCTGTTTCAAAGGAAGCCACACGTACTGTTCTTGTACCTCCCTTACACTTGGGTGTGTTATGGTTTCCTTTTGGATTTACTACAGGGAAGCTAAAAACCAATTGTGGTTTCCTTCATAATGAAAGTGTAGAAGTGTATTCAACCTTCATAACGGAAATTAACATTCAGAAATGTTAGGAAAAAAGTTACATGGCATTGTCATGGCAAAGAAGGCAGCTGTACTGTGCTGCTTGCTATCTTCAATACACCGCGTAGCTTTGCAGTTTGTTTCTGTCTGTCATCATTAATTGCTCTTGGTGGAACAGATCTTTCAAATGTGTACCAGTACAAATGGAGAAATACGAGCTCCCTTAGGCAGGATCAGCTTTCTGGTTTTGCTAGTTTGATATACACGGTAGTGACCATCAGAAAGAGGGGGGAAAAGATCCTTAGCTGTGTTGCTTCTGACCGCAGTGAAAAAATTTCAGGCTAACACATAAAATTTTCAGTACCTGTAGGTGTATCTCATAACCAGTCATATAAAGATAGTAACATACATCCTCCCTACTACTATCTCGTTTTGTCAGGAGAATTTACTTCTTGTGAAGCCACACTCTTCAGCTGGGGGAAAAATGTGAACCCAGTGGGTTTTTTCTTGCCCATGTTTTTTTATACCACAATAACTAAACAAGATATCATCAATATTTTCAATAAGAAAAACTTATTCTGCCTAGACAATGTTTTCTAAGGATCTCAATATGCTTTAAAAGCATGAAATTAAACATCAGCACAGTTTTCTCTACTAGCTAACAGACCATTTCTTTACCTCTGGCCTTACCTGGCTGTGGAGCCCCCGTCTAGTCTGAGAAATTTGTTTAGGGTTTTGACATGATCAAAAGCAAATGAATTTATATATTTTGCAATGATTTATTTTTAACTGGCACTACATGCTTGTTGTGATATACTACAGTTATGCTGTGAAGAGAATGGGATCTCAGCTTCTGTCTGATTTTGAAATTGCTCCAAATCTAAGCAAGAATAGGTTGTTCCTTTCCTTTCCCTTAAACATTGCTCTTAGGAAGCAGTTGTGGTTAAGAGTGAGCCCTTACTTTTGGAGTAAGCAGAAGTACTCAGTGATTCCTAATTATGGTAAGAATAGGGTCCAGTTCTTCTTTTTGTGTGCTCCCAAATAATTGATTTACCTCTTAGGAACAAAACTCTTCAGATCATTTAGATGTGTATTGAGACATCATGCTCTCAACTCATCTATTTGAGGTCAGGAACTTCAGGTGCCACTGGAAAGGACTTGGCAGCCTGAGTTCCCACCACCATCTGGGAAGGCTGGAGGACCCCAGAATTTCACTGATCCCTATCCTTAAATTTCAAGCTGAGTTGCCTTTGGGACTATGCTTTTAAATAATTTCAGTACCATTAAAATTACTGATATTATGGGGTTTCCTGAGCATGCTTTGTCTTAGGAGACACTGTCAGAAGCATCTTTCCCAGGCATATTCCTAACGCTGTGCGAAGGGGAAGAGCAGCAGGAGGTTTTGCTGCTCAAAGCAGGTTTGAACCCCACTTTTGTGAGATTCAGCCGAGGTTTCAGGCAGATCCGCCACTTTCCAGCTGCCTGGAGAGAGCTCATCCCACCGGGAGCCTGCGGCCGGGGGTCGGGCCCCCACCCCCAGTCCTGCCCGGCTTCCCCCCGCCCCGTTGGGGCTGCAGTTCCCGGCAGCGACCTCTCCTCGCCCCGCAGAGCTGCCCTTCCCGCCTGGATATCCCTTCTCCCTTACTTTTTCACTCGCTTTTCCCTTGCTCTCCCCGCACATCCCCGACCG